TGACGTGCAAGTATCACCGGCGAGGAAAGGAGAGGAAAGGAGAGGAAGGAAAGGGAAGGAAAGGAAAGGGAAGGACAGGGAAGGACAGGAAAGGAAAGGGAAGGGAGGAAGGGAAACCTCTTTGGGTGCAAGGCGGTGTGTCAATCTATCTAGTCAGGCCCGTCACACAGAAGCTATTCAACACTGCGCTTCCCCGCAGGCTCGCCCCAGCCATCGACAAGGCAAGCGCACTCTATTTACCTCGCAGGGCGACTGTCGTTGCTGCTGCTGCTGCTGCTATCAGAACTGCTACTGGAACTCATGCTCTCTTCGGAGCTTGAGTTGGCAGCATCAGCAGCTACTGCGCCACCACGCTGCGCTGTTCGCAGCTTTCTCTTGGCAATTTGCTTCTTGCGTTGCTCGACAAGAGCCTCGAAATTAAATGCTTCCACTTTCCCTGTGTACTTCAAATTGACTCCCGCTGACAGCAGGTGTCGTGGAGGCGAAGAGGTCCGATCTTGGTGTCCCACTGCTTTCTTCCCTCACTCCAATAGCCTCGCCTGTATTCCGTCTGCGGGTCTTCTATAGCCTCCAAAGTAACGTTAGGGGTCAAGTTCACGGCACTGACCATGGAGGAAAACACGTGGTTGCACACCTTCACGCCCAACCTTTTGTGCGATTTCAAAGGAGTGGAGCTCACACAATATGTCTTGGAGATTTGGAAATCTTGCGCCACCATCTTAAACCTCTGCGCTGCTGCGTCGCCACGTAAAAGTCGTAACAGGACCTTGGCACGTTCGCCCGCCCAAGCAAAAAAAAACGTGGGGAGCGCCAACAGCAAGACAGCAACAGCAACGTCGGCAGTTCCCCAGCCACCACCAGCACCAGCACCAGCACCAGCACAGCCACTCCAATCACACCTCTTGTCCCCCAAATCTCCTTGTATCCGTGCAGCAAGGCCTGCTTCTTGGATCGATACTGAACACCATCCGGCGAGACCCAAATGCCTCAGATTGTCTCAGATTCATACACCCTTTCACGATGCTCACTCACTGAATCACACTCTGGCTTGCTTGCTCACTCGCTCGCCTTCATTGAACGTTAGCAGCTTGCAACCGAGCTTCGGTAAGTGTTGCCTGCTGACACGCCACTCAGCCGATACAATTCATGAACGGACCACATGGCTCCAAGCGAAATGGCTCACAAAAATGGGTTGTTCAAAATGGGGTAGGGGACCCCCAATCCCAATACTCGTAGTGATGGGCAACCGCTGCCATTGGACATTCTGAATTTGAACAACCCAGGAAGAAAAAGCTGCAAACGCCTGCGGAGAGAGGCGGGAGTCACTCCACCCGGCTTGCCCGCGACAAAAGCGACAGCGACTGAACAAAAAACGCAAGTGTAAACAAAACTGCCTCCAGGGTATCGTTTTTTTGAGTCCCCTATCGTTTTCCATGGTTTTGTGCATTTCAACAACATCAATGAAACGCCGAATACTAAATTCAATAGAAGTAATTTTGACGGTACTTCATATATATATATATATATATGCACATCTGCATATCACCCTCAACAAGGACTCACTGAGGTACTTGGGTGCAAAGATTTTGCGTGGTTGATTTCGCTTTGGAAAGCTTCCACTGAGCGCAGAATGCCGGCGCTTGCCAGGCAAGGAGCAAGCAACAGGCTGGTGGCAGTTCCACCTGTCGACTCGGGATTGTCTGTGATCATAGAGTTGGCAACCCCCACAGCACCTCGGGCTCAACGCATGTGACAGCCGAAGCAATGCCAAGACTCCAAGACCTGGACTGCGAAACATTCTGGCCGTGACAAAGGCAAGGCAACCTTACAGTATCTGGTTCCCCCTCATGCTTCCGTCCGTGACCTTCTGACCTGCCATGCTCGTGGCTGATACTCAACGAGGTGCCACCAGCGGGCCCAGCCAAAGCCATGCCGATGACCCCCGCGCCCGTGGGATTGATCCAGTTCCAGTTGGGCCAGTCCCAGTCCGTATTCTCGGCAGGCTCCGTCTCTTCAGGCATGGCTTTCAGGCTTTCGGCCATTTCGGCACTGTGCCACACTTGACAAGTGTCTGTACTGCGAAGCTGATGGTACTGAACAGAAAGGCAATGCTTGCACAGCAGGTTGCATTTAAGATCATTTGAAGCAGCAACATTGGAATCATAGCTGTAGCTGTGTTCGTGCTTTCAGCATCACAAGGGATGAATTCGTGCTAGTAAAGCCCTTCCTTTGAGGGACGGCGAATTCACAACCCATTTTAGTCTATTTTAGTGGGGATTGGGATGTTCACTGCGGTGAATGTCGATGGCACAATCGACTGAGATTTGGCTGTGGGTCAAAACCAATGGTACCATTTTGGAGGATTCGATCATGTTCGCTTGCTCCATAGTGGGGAATAGTGATTGAGTGGCAGGTAGCGCTTGACGCCCATGGAGAAAAAGCAGACACCCAATGGCCATGGGTCAAAATCCCGTACCCCCAGGTCGGACGATGCTTCAAGGGCAAGGTCCGTGCCTGGATGGAGCAGCACCTGACCACTTGAATCTATGCAGTGCTCGGGGCTCGAAGCTTTGTGAGCTTGGGCAAATCCAAGGAGGACATCCAAGGAGTACCTACGTAAAGACATAATTACACAAAGTACTGGTGTGCATGCAAATGCGTGTGTATAAATATATATATATATATATTACAATATTGTACACGTGGTCCCTCACGATCTGCCATTATGGGCTGCTGTTTGGCCCCAAGTACGTGGCGTCTCAAGATTGATCCAAAATTGCCGGTTGCATTTCCTGGGAGACACCCATCCATGTGCTAGTTAGATGTTTGAGGCATCGAAGTAGTTCAAAGTGCTTTGGACCCGATTCAAATAAATGGTGGAGTCTGCAAATTAGAAACGAGTCCTACAAAGTTGTCAAAGAGTCCTCGAGAGACAAAAAATGGAGTCATCTGTGGAAAAGCCTCTTTCGCAGAACAACAGTTGGAGCTTTCAGAATTGCTTTGGGCATGACAATACTTGTGCTATTTGAACTGCCAGGCGAATAATTCTGTGCATCCACAGGCTGCATTCAAACGTGTGTTGATCATTGCCACGCAAGAGTGGTTTATGCGCATGATCATGCCCAAATGGCTGGGGGCAAATCCTCCTCCCTTCTGCAAAAAGTTAGATGTTTGTCTTCATACCAAAGGGAAGAGCTCAGCTCTTCCCTCCGTCCGCAGGCACTTAGCGACGGGCCTGGAGACACGACGGCGTCGCTGTCGCTGTCGACCTTGAGGCCACGACATGGTCTGTATTTGTTTGGAGGAACCCCGTTATGGCGATCGAAGTTGGGAAACCAAAATGAATCTAGCCATGAGGGGTGCCTTAAATTTGAGATCTTGTCGCATGCAGGCCTCAAAACCCTCCGAGACCCGCTGGCTCCCGGCAAGGTCGTGCAGGGAGCGCCGTGCCGGCCTAAAAGCTACGTTGCGGACGCCCAGGACAAGGTTCCTATTTTGGGCCCATGGGGTTATCGCAGTCAGAATAGGACTGCGCAAACTCATCCGCAAAATGGGTGCGGCTCAAAATTGAACAGTGGGAGTTGCGCAGGTTTCAGTTTTTGTTTCCATATACTGGCCTCGTTATTTAACCATGATCAAAGTCACCCGTTAAAGGGAAACAACCCCGTCTTCTAACTCTGATAACCTCCAGAAACCGTCAAAATAATGACCCCAGACATGCCAAGGTTCCATTTTGGCTACCGCTTTTCTGAGCCACTGCCAAATCACCAACATGCCTGTCTCTCGGAGCTCTGAGGCTTGCACCCGGAGGCCTGCTCCAAACCAGATCCAGCTGTGCCCGGGAAACAAAGAACCCCTTTTCTTGAAACCGAAGACGCAAACACAAGGAACCTGCTTGGGTCAGTGGGTTTGGCTCCGAAATGCTCCGAAAACAAATGAATCCAGGGATGTGTTGTCTTCCACCCATAGGTGGCCGTTTGAAAACATAGATGGCCCTGGTGAATGGAATAAACCCCATCTAAACCAGGGCCTTCTGTTCTTTAAGCAAACCAACCAAAAAGGACACCTATGCTTCCACCCCACCGTCAACGGAACCCGCACCCCGCCCCACTCCTCGAGCCGCTGCAGGAACTCGCTGCGCCGGGCGCTCGAGTGCTCCACCAGGCCCTCGTGCCGCCTGGCAGCGCAGATTTGCTCGACCGAGGGCACCGTGACAGTCAAAACCCGGGCATTAAACTGGTCCAGCCAGAACCATGCGAACCGAAAAAATCGGATCTCCGCCCATTTCTGGCCGGGATTCGCCCTTGCCCTCCACTTACCCTCCAGTTCTGTTCGTGACTCTGAACCTCAGAGCTATAAATCCCCTTCGGGCCAAATCTGAGAACCAGCCAAAGCTGGATAGGCAAGACTAGACGCGACCAAAGACCCAAAGCCATTGTCAACTCGCTCTCATCACTGGCCTCCGCTCGCGCAGCTCCGGGCTGGTCTCCAGCATCTCGGCCTGAGCGCGAGCGCTCGGGCACTCAGCGGCGTCGCTGCGATTCTGGTTGAGACAAAAGCAATGCCACCCTCTTTTGGGTCCCCTATTTTGACCCACACCCTTCTTTGAAAAGAACAAAGATCAAAAGAGCTGGCCGCCCCGCCTCCAAAGTAGACAGCGCTTGAGGCGAAAAGTTGCTCATGCTGGAAATGTGGCTTCTGCGCTCGCTGCAGACGTGGTTGGAATGAGCCTCAATTTGGTGAACTGGTTTTGCGCGCAGCCAGTCACGAGAAGCATCGTGACCAGCGGATTGCTGATCAAAGGACGCATCTTACTGGTCTGCCCACACCACATGTTTCATCCATCTAGCTAAGAGCCGAGACAGGCGGTGGACAGGCAGATTTGCAAGATCATGAAGAGCATTGTCTTTGGGCGCTTCATTCCAATCATGCGACCCCGCAAATGCGTATCTGGAATGTGCCACCAGCATCGTTGAGTCAACAGCATGGGGCCAAGAAGCCTGCTCCGCCATCTCATCAATGTGCACCTCCAAAGCTCGTTGCATGTGAGGCAGTCAGCAAAGCCGTGTGCTATTGGCCCCAGCCCATCGGCTCATGTGCATGGAAATGGCGCAAGTCAATGGCCAACCGCCACTTTGGGCTAAAACACTCGGCTCTGGTGAAAGAGTTGCCTGAAAAGGCCTGGGGTGACAAGATTCTGAGCCGGAAAATGGGGGAATCCCTTGAATGGAAGCACAAAAACATCACCGTCCAACCAATTCCTCGATGTTGACAACCCGTCGAAGTGAGTGACTCGGGGAGACCAAAGGTCCAAAGGGTGCCTCACGCCACTCCGAGTGGCACCTTGCTGACGGACAGGTCCTGCTTCAGCTTGGTCACCGCCTGCGAAACAGAACCCGCAGCCACGTCCAACGCAGCTGATCCCTCCTCCGTCATAGCGGAAAGCTCCTCGCCGATGGACTGCACCGCAGCCTTCAGCTGTCGTTGCACCAGTCTTGCCACGAGCTTGCCGCTTCTGCACCAATAGTTGGCCATGGGTCAAAATCCCTTTTCCCCCAGTGAACATCCCAATACCCACTAAAATAGACTAAAATGGGTGGTGCACCTACCCCCAAAATGGTACCATTGGTTCTGACCCACAGACACATTTGCGAAGCCTCCTGCATGTCAGTCGACTGATAGCTGAAGCTTTGCTTGGAAGGAGATTCCTCCCTGATCCGCATTGAGTCCTGCGAAGCTTCGCCAAACGCCCGCAATCACAGTGCCTCCAACTGCTTCATGCCAACCATTTTGGGCTTTGCGGATTCCCTTATATAACACCAGCCTGCCCTCAAATATACTTGAGAAAGGTAGAACAGCCATGGCTCTAGCAAAGCATGGACTGTCTCGAGCGTAACGCAAAAAAGATCCCAAAAGGAGCCAACAGGGTCAAATGCGGCAAGCTATCTTTTTGCAGCACAAGGATAGAAGGTAATTGAAGTAGGGTGGGATTGGAGAAGGAACTGATTGGGGAAGAGACTTGAAGATGTCAAGTTCATCCAACAAGAACCGTGCAACCAGTATACATGTTCAAATGCTAAAAGTAATGAAACTCACTACCATCTAGATAACTTGGAAGCCAGCAAGAGATCGCTTACAAAGCCCCCAAAACTCACATCGCGAAAGCAAAAAAAAATGAGAGTGTCCCCCTTGTAAAAAAAAAAAAAAAAAAAAAAAAATGATGGTGGGAAATATGAAAGGTACAAATAGGATTTAAGCATACAAGGGAGGAAAGTCGTTGAGGCTGGAGATGAAAACTGACGACAACACAGCAGAGAATGTAAGCGCTCATTTTTGAAAGTATTGAAAGGCAAGATCCACCATCTCGAGAATTTGGAACCGCCTCCAATCGCTCACAAAACCCTAAAACTCCAATGCGGTGCGCACCCCATAATCAAATCGACAAGGGACATGCAACCGCAAACAGCAAACATGCCGATGTTCGAGAAATGCTAGGTGGAATATGCATAATCTCGAGAAACCACCAACCATCCCTCACGAGACCTGTAAGCTAAATCAGCACACAACCCACAAAGATAATTTCGCGAGAGCTCCCCTTGTATTGAGCCAAAAAATGTTGGCAGGAAGTATGAACAGTATGAACGTTAAAGTGATATTGAAGCATCGAAGGGATGAAAGTTGAGTTTGGGGCTGAAGCTTGAACAGGTACAGGTGCAAACAACAGAGCAATCAATCCGCAAAATGTCTATGTGACTTTTGAAAGTCGAACCATTTGGGAACATGCATCTCAAGAATGTGGAAACCAGCAAAGCTAGTGAGAGCCTCACACTGAAATATGGCGCGAAATCCAGAAGAACAACAAGGCGCGAGAGTTCCCTGGGAAATTGAGCCACACTGTTGGTAGGAAGTATGAAAGTTAGAAATGAAGTTGAGGCATACAAGCAAGCAAAGCGATTGGGGCTGGGAATGAAACTCAACAACGAGAATATTCATCCAACAATGACACAGCACAAATTGCAAACTGTACAAATTTGAAAATCAAGAAATTCAGAGGGAAGAATTTCCATGCTTGATTCTGAAATGTGTCATGAAACTCACGCAAAACGAATGTGTTTTCAGTTACATTGAGCCAAACTGTTGGTAGGCAGAGTGAAAGTTGGAAATCGAGTTGAAGCATATAAGGAACTGGGTTTGAGGCGTTGGGGCTCGCCAATGGAACGACAAGGTCTCAATGAGGTGATGGTGCTAAAACCGGGGCGCGCAATTGCGCATTCCCAACCATGAAGCATACGCGCACCGAGTGTCCCACAACAACAACTTCGGAACAAGGCAGGACCGTAACTTGACTGGGCAGACCAGCCTTAAACACAAAAGCAAAACCGGAATTGAGCCGCGTCTTGGGAGGACCGTGGGAAAAGATTGGAGAAGATCCGAGAGGAGAGCGGTGCGAAAAGTGGAGCGAAGTGTGGAGAAACAAACGGCCAAAAGAGCGAAGAGAAGAGCGGAGAGAATAGCCAAGCGACGAATCGGCCAAGGGAGGGACGTTAGAGGGGAGAGTCGAACCCCTGGTTTCCCTCTCAAAGAAGCCTTGCTGCAGCCACCGGAGGCCTACCTTTCGCGAGAACTCGACTCATTTCCCGCGCTGTCCTGAGCCTTTGGCCTGGCGTCTGCGATGGCATCTATCTTCTTTTCCAGGACCATGATCTTGTCCTGAAAGGTCATTGCAGGAACAGTCTCATACCCGGGGCGCTGAAAGCAACGGCCAATTCATGGGCTGCCAACTGCATTCACAGGCCACAGCATCTAATAGTCCAAGATGGTCATGCTGCACACTGCGAGGCATTGCTGCAACGTAGTCACCAAAACGCAGATCGGCGAGGTACTTCGCCTCATTCCCTTCCCGCCCGCGCCTCGAGGTTCAAAATAATGCGCCTCACAACTGCGTTGATCTCCTCGCACCAACAGCACAGTTGGTATGGCTCAGCTTCAAATCTCAGGGCTATCCCAACAAGATCTCAAATTAGTCCCCGGCTCATGTTCCCGGCTGCACAACTTGACGTGCGTGCGGCTCCTGCCCACCATCTCCAAGGATGCGCCGGTTATCCTTGATGGAATACTCCAACTTGGACACCTTCCCGCCCCCTTTCTCCCCTTCCAAACGTCCCAGCCCTGCCTTGCCTTCTCCACGAGCTGCGCCAGATCCGGGATGTCCACCTTCTTCTTCTCGAGGCCGGCGACGGTGTGCTCCGCCCAACTCTTCACCTACGAAAAGCGCCCCTGACGAGAAGGGCCCCGAAGCGAACTGGCCTCCGTAAGCTCATGCACAAACTTGCGGTTGGAGTTGTATGATGATGCCTGGGACCGAACTTGACCCAACTCAGCGTCCAGTGGCTGGCGGCCATGCCGGTATGGTCTCGAAACAGGCAAACACCATCTTACCCGTCAGCTGGTGGCAGTTGCAGGAATCACAAAGGAATCTCACTGTGGAGAACAAGCACAGAGCAAGACCCAGTCTTGCCCAAAAACACGCGAGCCACAATCAAGACCCGGAATTTTTAAGTGGTCGTAAACCCGGAACCACGCTTCAAGAACTCAGGCGGATATCCGCACCTCTAACTCTGGGACTGCCCCGGATCAAGCCCCGAATCGGTTTCGTTCGCACTCACGCTCACATTGGATCCGGATCCTCAGGGCCTGGCCGAAATCTCCTTGAGCTCAACCTGACGAAAAACAAAAATAACAGGTGTCACCATTGGCCAATGGCAGAAGGAATGGCAGAAGAAGAAAATAAAAGCAGGTGTCACCTGATGGAGAAAAAAGAGAGAGAGAAACACGTCTGGCCTTCATGGCTTGGTGGTCTGACCTCATGTCTTCGAAGCCGTTCTGCACCTAAGCGGAAACCATCCGCGGCTAAGGGAGAGGTGATGCCTTTCTCTTGAAAGCAACAACGCGTGCTCCTGATTTGTCATCATATTGACCGTTACCCTCCCATGATCTTGCTCAGTGGGAAAGGTAGGACCATCCTGCATTTGAACATGTACACGATTGGCAGTGAGCTGGCAATTCCGAGTCCCACATTCGAATGGCAATGCAAATATCGAAGATTCCTCGTGCTGGTGTTACCCGCTGTGTCCGTAACTTCCAGCCCTTGAACCTTCAACCTCGATCGCCTCAGTCTGGTCGGCACCTTGACCAGCTCCGCTCGAGGCACTGCCACCGACTCAACCTGCACCAAGTGTGCGAGAGTAGTGTGTTCTATGCTTGAGGCACAATAGCCACAATAGATGCCCAGTGGACATGGGGAAAAAAAACAGGCATCCTTCTTTGGTTGGTTCAGTCTGAAGGGGAACACTTCCCAAAAAAAGGAAAAAGGGGCGCCACTGTCACTGGGGAATCACACCACGGGTTCCCATGTTCCCCCGCGCGAATCTGGAGACCAGCAGCCGACTTGCCGAAATGCCTTAAAGAGCTTCTCGGCGACATCGGACAGACTTTGAGCAGTGAACTTTGTGTCGCCCTGGCCGACACGAAGTTGGCGATGGGCAAACCCAAGAGCATCCAAACCGCCGGTGTCCCGAGTCGGTTTCCCAAGAGCTTACGACCCTCACCGAGCTGTGACTCCTTCCGAGCCTCCAAAGACTCGATCCGGATCTTGAGATCTGAGCAGCCACGGGTCACTCACACATCTCGAACGCGGACACGGACGGGTGACTCGGCGTCGGTTCAGATTCAGCGCCGCCTGGCACATTCAGCTTCTCGATGGAGCCCAAGCGCCTGCACGGCCGCTTTCGATTCCATCTCCAGGCAAGAGCCCATCCCAGGCGCACTCCAGTCGGCCCGAAATGCTGTTTCCATCAGCTGGAGTGAAACCATGTTAGGAGGAAACCTGGGAGCGCTCTTCCCAAGCTCTGCAAAACAGCCTGCTCCGCAAAACCAGCATCTTGCTACTCTCAAATAGTTGCACACCTTCTGTTGAAGCGCAAACACTTGCAACAGAAACTTAGAATACCTGTCTGGTCACCAGACAGGCAGATTCCACAGCCCACCAAGCGGCCCAACAGCCCGAGTCGACTGCACCAATGGAGACGACCGGGCCGCGCACGTTGCAAGCTGCTGCAGCTCCTCCTTGTCCACCTTCCTCACGTGGTCCACGTCCTGATGGCCATCTGCAAATGGCTGTGGGTCAAAATTAAACCACCAGGGGACCGCAGGTTTTAGTCCATGTTTCCATCTACCAGGATTCCATTTGGGTACATGTTTTTAACCGGTACCAAAATGGAATCCTGGCAAGTGGAAATATGGACCAAAACCTGCGGTCCCCTGGTGGTTTAATCTTGACCCACACCCAACTGGCCCTTCAAGGGAATGGGCTGAATCTGGGTGCTCTTTGGCCGGTTGCAGGAAGACCTGAACTCGACCCAACACGAATTCAGTCATTCAGAGAAGCCCCGAGGTTCACACATGACCATTTGGCCAGAAGGAAATAGGCACAACGTGCTTTGTTTCGCTCATCTGCCAGAATCACCAAGTTAGTGCCTTGTCTTCTTTTGATGAAAATCCAATTCGGGGGTTGTTGCGGTTCTTGCTCCGCGGCCCTGCTCTCTGCCTTCCACTCCAGGGAGTGGAGTAGGAGGCTCAAAGTCGTCTACGCGATGTTTGCGTGCCCTTTTAACAGAAAAAGTAACTCTTCTTTTGTGCTCCGTCAAGCCTTCAATTGCAAAACTGGGCACACAAGCCCATCCACTCGCTCCAATGGAAACCGAAGTTGACAGCAGCGAAGGTCATTTTTGCACAGAAGAGTCATACGAGCCAATTGAGCAGAAAGGTGTGGAACTGTGTTGCTGTGATGGGCATGCCGACAAAAATCTCCGTGTTCTTGGCAGGCCCTGCCTGCACCCTCTTCAGATTGAAGAACTCCGTGCCGAGCCTTGCTGCACCATGTTTGCCAAAAATCGCATCTTCTGAGAACTGTGGTGCCCAAAATGACCCCAATCTCCAACAACCAAAGCCAAGGCAGTTCACAATGCAAGAGCGGGCTGGAAACAAACCAAAACATTCAAATCTTTTCTGTGTTGAACGGAACCAGCCGAGGCCTCTCGAGACGCTCCTCCATGTGCATCATTTGGGGTAGAGCGACCTGACAAGGACCACATACCATCGTGCAAAGCCAACTGGGAGGAAGCCCCAGCTGCAGAATGGCTACAAGTCTAATCTGCCATGGATACACGAGCCCCCAACAATATTATATACTTCTTGCCCATGTGCGCTGAGAGGTTTAGGTTGTTTCCAGGTCCTTCCCGAGATACTGTCAGCAGGAGCATGCGATGGTGTTTTTTTTCTTCAAATATCTGTGGAGGTGTCATTCTGAGCGGAGTGAAACACTGTGATTCAGGCGACACCACGCTTTGGGCACTGCCACTTGCTCCCACCTTGGCCATCCTCGCCTCTCAGACCTTGTCCTTCTTTGGCGCGTAAGGGTGGCTCTTTGTCCACCTTTGCCATGCCGAGGCTTCCATTTCATCGGCTCCCCAGGTGGCTGGGTTGCCTGCACCATCCAGCTTGAAGCCATACTTTGCATAGCATCTCACGGCCCGACTGTTCGCTTCCAGCACCGAGAGCCCGGTGCTTGCGCACTTCCAGCCGATTTTGTGACTATGATCCTCAGCGGCTCCAATAAGCATGGCACCCAGACCCTTGCCTTGATGAGCTGAGTCCACCTTGAGGTGGGAAATGCTCAGCTTCTGCTCGTCCTTCTGGTCCATGCAATGCACGTATCCAGAAATCTCGCTGGTCGCAAGGTACACCAGCGAGAGCGTGAAGTGCGTGGGGTTCTGCCCCGACAGCACAGCCTTGATGGCATTGATGGGGCCGTGAGGAGGGTTTACAGTGTCATCAATGACACCCACGTTCCTGCACCAACAATCGTGAGCCACGTCTCCAAACCACTTCTCCTTGGCAAGTAACTCCGCATGGTCCACAACGAAGTGCTTCTCCGACACGCGGAGCCGAGCTGCACAGGCCACAGGCGTCTTCACCACGGCGTAGCCCCCGCCACTGCGGATGAAGTCCTCGGGCTTGGCTTCAATCTTCCCGCCCTGCATGACCTCGCCAGCCGGCCACTCGTCAGCCCAGTCTCGCAAGGCCTCCAAGGGCGTGGCTGCCACTCTGCGCCGCTTTGCAGGGGGAGCGACAGGCACAGCTGCGGCGACTGGGGCCGCAGGAGCTGCCGGGGCTGCGGAGGATATCTGATCTGCCTTGCGCTTGCGGGCGCTCACCTCCTCCTTAAGTCTGGAGGCAATCTCCTTTGCTGCTACCTGTACAATGTTCCGGCCCCACCGGTTGACCAAGTCGAGTCGTGAACGGCCCTCGATCAAGGTCAAAGCCGTGTCCAGGTGAGCGCGGGTGGCAGCATAAAACAACGCGGTCTCACCGTTCCGATCAAGATGATTCACGTCTATGCCCTGCTGCACCAAGTATGCGCAAGTCTTGGTGTGGCCCTGCCGCGCCGCGTAGTACAGCGCAGTCTGTTGATACTCGTCCACCCAGTGAAGTGTGACACCGAATCCCACTAAGAGCTTGCACAGGGCCAAAGCCTCAGCATCCTGCCCTTGGGCGCGAGCACAAGCAAAGAAGAGAGGTGTCTGCATGGTGGGCTTGTAGCACGAGGTCAAATGCGCAATGGGCGCATCTTTGACCATCTTCATGGCCATGGCAGCTGGCTTGTCCCTGATGATGAAAAAGAACTCATTCTTCAACTTCTGTGGTGCCATGGCACCCCACAAGAAAGACACAGCAGCACAAGACTACAAGTTGCTGTGCTGCCCGCGAGCCACTTTGGCTTCAGCACGCACTGACATCTAAGGGCAAAGCAGAACCTCCTTGACAGAGCTTTATGTGAAGAAAAGCGCGTGCAAAACAGCGTTTCGTGTTTTTGTCCTTTGGGAGATGATGGTCTCCAGTAGAGCCAGCTGCCAATGCGCTCTGAGGAATTGACTGCTGAATCTTCTGCCATGGCAAGGTCTGTGACCATACCACCTCCGCCTTGCGAAGGAAATGGTGGAATGTGACCCGATCCTTGCAACGCAGGCTTCCTCAAGTCGTCATTTGTTTGCTCGAACCGCGCCACTTCCATGTTACAGACCCGGCCTGAATGCCCAGCCCACACCTCGGCAGCTGGCTCAGTGTCGCGACATTCAGTGCCTCTAGGTTTCCTAAGACCGCTTCAGAACCCGGATCTCCTAAACCCCATCCACAAACACAAAATTCCGTCCTACCCAACCCAAAACCAAAACCGTGCTCCAGCTGCCTCAAGCCCCTTTGACACAGGAAGTCCGTGAGGCCAGCCCAAGAGCCCAGTCGAAGCAGGCAAACACACACACAATTTTCCCCAGAAACCGGACAAATTGCCCTCAAGAAACCAGTCAATTCCCCTCCTGGGAAACCAGTCAAAACTCCCTTTAGCAACTCTCCTCCAAGAACCTGTCCCTAGAAACCGGCGAAAACTCCTTACGTGTCCCTCACGCTTCGCTTGGCCCCACCCCGCTGCCGCTCTCGTTCACCTCAAGGCAAACCAAAACATAGTACCTCAAGAGCCAGACCCCCTTCCTTGGCTCCAATCCCAGATTGTTCTGAAATGAGCCTTGTCAACGCCGGCCCTAGCCCAACACACAACAACTCCGGTCTCTGGACTTGGACGCTGCGCTGAGCCATCTCATCCAGCTCATGGGCTCTAACGCTGCGACGCCCGCCCACTGCCAGCTTCACGGCGTCACTTGGCTCCGTGACTCACCTTGCATCCTGCGCAAGTTCAGCCCGAAACATGTCATCTGCTGGCACGACGCCTAGCTTCTTGCAGGCAACGCCCCTGCGTCGCTTGGCTCCGTAACTCGCGCCTCTGAATTGCCCACTTGGCCGGCGCTGTTCCTTCCTTTCGCGTCACTGACGCTACGCGCTGGGCTTGGCTGAGGCGGGCAACGCGAAGCGTTTACAATAATCACAGCTGCAGGTCAGGAGTCAGTCCGGTCCTCACTTGAAAGACACAAGCAAAAACCGGATCGACAGTAGCTTTGGCTGTATGATTGCGTGGCACTCGACTCATTCTTGAATGGGCACTTTCACCTCCGAAAGGCCCTGCGTGAGAAACAGTGGGTCTCACAGTTGCGCAGGAATCTCGATTCTGGAAACTGCTGATGCCTTGGGCGTTCCTTCAGCACATTGCATACGCCGGGTCGTCCTTCCTTCACCCAATCCAATGAAACGTGCATTGGAAGTATTGCGAACAGAACGAATGAGCCTTCCGAAATGGAAGTGCCTGGCAGTTCCACCCATTGCGTTCGAGGCCAGGGAGCTCAAGCGCAGGTTCCTCCACCAGCTGATCTATTGCGATCAGCTAAGGACCCTGCTGACCCCCTCACACTGGCCCGGGTGAGGTTCGGCGGCGCGCCACCGCTCTGTAGCCACCTCGGGGGTCTCGGCCGTTGAAACCAGGTTCGGCCAGGGCACACACAGTCCCTTCCGTGCGGTTGTGCAACAAAACATGCGCCACCAAAGTGATCAAGATCATTCAAGTATATCCATGTATATCAGTTATGCAGGGGATCTCAGGGGTCAGTGGGCCGTCCATCCCTGAAGTACCAACCGACTTTTTTCTGGCGATTCGACACGCCCAGGGCTGTGGCTGCAAGATCTTCGCCTCGAACTCCTCCCTCTCGGTCTCAAACCTCGCATCCATCAAGCTGATTTGGGCTTGGGTTTGCCCGAAAAAGGGGGGGAGCCCCACTTGCCCGAATCCCAAGGGCTAGGAAGCCCTTGACATTTGCAAGCCATTTCCCAAGCTGCCGCCGACCAGACTGGGAAAACAAGCCTCCGGCCCGGGGAGGCCTTCGAGCCCCGGGCTGCTCAAAGCACATGGCCAGGTCCCTTCCCATCTCGTCCCGGGGCTTGAAGCACCAGCTCCACCTCGATCGACAAAAAGAAGCGCGCCGAGGCAGATGTTGGGGACTCAGAAAGCCTGGATTGATAGAAAAAATCACATGACCGTGGCTCAATTGTCAAGAGCAGAAAGAGTACCATGCGGGTGGCTGCAAACCAGTCAACCACGCGACAAGCATCACCTATGGCGAAGAAACACCAAGGGATAGAAACGCCTACAGCAGCCTCGACCCGCGTCCTGAGTCCCGAGTCCCCGACTTGATGTCCGGCTCCCCTGCCAGTTGCCACGGCAGGCGGCCTGTGTCCTCTTCCACCGTAAAGGTTCGGGTCCTCAAATCCCAAGCCAGTCGAGCAGCCACTGTGTCAAGAAGGTGGATAGCGCGAGCAAGACTCTCCACGTTTGCATCGAACATCACCTTCTTGCCGTCGTCGGACTTGTAATCCTGGATTGTCGTGTCCGCACCGGCATGGATGGGCCCGAGCATGCAACCGAGGCCACGGCGACCTTAATGTCTTCCGTGTCATCCTTCGATCACAAGCAGCCAGTCCCTTTCAAACATGACCAAGGCCTGGAGTTCAAGAGAGCTCTGCGCAAAACCTTCAGAAACCAACGGTTTTTGACGTGTCCGACGTCTTTTTTCTTGGTTTCGGGGCACCGAAGCCGCGGCACGGTCGAGCCGTCGGCGCTCAAAGACTCCTCGCTGGGCTCGGGGAACAGCTGCCGCTGCAGCATCCTCCGGAGCCGCCGCGGCAGGAGCTCCAGGAAGGCCAGCAGCGTCTTGTTCACCCCCTGGCCATGGGCTTTTCAAAATCCAAATCGGTTAGCCAGTGAACGTCCGATATCCAACCAAGGTTCTATGGGTGAATTCACCTACCCAAAGATGGTACCATTGGTTTTGACCCACAGCCAGATGTCGCGTCTCGCGAGGCGCAGGAGAACCACCCCAACCTCGTTGACTGGGACTGCAAGATGTCCTTTTGTAGGTCCCCACAAGGCGTTCATTATTTCAAGGGGCAATGTGTGTGCCTTCGACTTTCGCCTTTTCTGCGCCGTGCGTTCAACCCAAGTGTCTACGATACGTTTGGTTGCACAGCTTGAATGACCCGAAAGCTACTCCCTCGCTGGCCTGGAGGTCACCTCGCAGCTCTGAGATGCTGCGGTTGACCTATGCATAGCTCTTGCCGTGGCAAGAGCCACGTGACGAGAGTGCTTTGCTTCGCGCAAGCTCGCAAATTCTTGCAACGCTTGGGTCCGTGGAATACGTAAGGATGCCTCTCAGCATTCCAAGATGCTTGTTCCCTTCCGCAAGCCAGCAAGCTTCTGAATAAATCATCGAGGATTCAATTTGACTGCAAAAAAAAATGAGCAGCGGCCAAGCAATCCCAAGCCCCTTGCCTCACCGTCTAGCTCTAACATCTTCTTGCCCAGGCGGGCCATGCGCGAGGCATTCACCTCCTCCTGCCCCTCAGGCAACGGGCAAATCCAACTAGCATTGCTACCGCCCACATCTTGTACGCTCTGGAACCGAAACCCTAGAGACTGGGCACCATGCAGAGCTCTCAGTGGGCATCTTGCCGAAGTCGGGACCTAGAGCGGATGGCAGCCGCTTGGCCTCTAAGTGATCAAGATCATACTAACGGGTCAGCTCACCCGAAATCGGCACCGCACGGGGAGCACCGAGGCCGCACCTGTTTTCTTAAGCCCCATGCTGGAGCGATCAGCGTGTGTCGGTGTCTTCTCAGCCATCTGCCTGGCGCCAGCGGAGTGCCCAGTGCCAAAGTATAAACCTCCAGTGCTGTGGGATTAGCAAACAACACGCGTTGAGGGCTGGAGATGGCCAATCAGAAAGTAGGAAGGTCGACTCTCCAATGATGGCCCGTGGCGGAACAGAAGCTTGCTGATCCTTGTACGCAAATGCGGTTTGGCATTCCTCGTTGATCCCATCTTGCATGATTGTGCAAAGCCAACAAGTGCTCGTAAGTTGGATCGCTGTAGGGAGACATGAGCGCCTGTCTCCAATTACTGATCCACCCGTGAGGATTCAATCATGGAACATCTTGTCGTAGCTTGTATGCCATCTGTTCGCACGCATGCACCCTTCAGCTGCCTCGGTGGCATAGTAACCCCAGCCTGCATCACAGACAGCCAGCTGCTGGCTGCAAAGCGGTGTGTGTGTGTGTGTGGGTGTGCGCGCCTTCAACTTCGGCTTCTTCCCGTCGTCCTTGCCCACAGACACAATGGCTTTGAAGGAACCTTGCCACGGCGAAGCAGCTTGCAAGGAAGGCGGTTTCCAAATGTTCACGCATCTCTCTGGTCACCTTTTTGGAACCAAGTGGCTTTGTCTCAAATTCAGGAAACCTTTGGGCTTCCCACTAAGTACCCTCAAAATAGACACCCCCCAAGCAGAGACCCTTCTCTTACATATCCTCCACTCCAGGCCTCCCTCATGCTGCGTGGCCGCGCCATGCCTGGAATTCAAACATCCGAAAGCTGCGGTGCGGGGCAACCACGAGGCGCCCACACCAGCAGGTAGTCCAGACGCGCTTGCTGGCCCACTACCTGAGGAGCTGTCAAACTGCAGCTGTCCTTGAAACGGCATTTATCCTCCCAACTCGCTCCTCCAAATACAAGGGCATGAGAGAACAAGAAAAGAAACCCTAGCAAACACATCTAAAGTCAGTCCAGAAATCCCACTTACCAGGGAAGATAGAAAGCACAAAGCATGGCTTGAGGGCTTGAGGCCGCCAAACCGTGCCTGGTCCACCAGATTGCCCACCTCCGATTGCAGCCGCTTCAACTTCTCCAGGGCGAAGTTCGCCTGGAGCGATCGATCGGCTGGGAAAAAATCGGAAAGACATGCTGCCCAGCCTGAGCTTCTGCATGCTTGTGAGCTGACCGAAGGCCAGCAATCTTCAACATGCCTGGGAAACGCAGAGATGCGTACCAAATGTAAGCCCAACAGAATCTGGCAAGAGCTTGGACTCCAATTATATGCTTCATGCAGGCATGTAAGGCTTCAAGTCGAAATCAAAATTGTCGATTGGACTTTGAACCAGCCTCATGAAAATGTGTTGATACCCACAAGCTTGACTGCAGTGCAAATCATGGCTCAAGCGAGGAAATCCGAGGTATCGGCTTTGCTGCTGGCTGTCCTGAAGTCTTTTGACTTTCTCCTCCAGGTCCTGGACGGTCTTGGCCCAAAACAAAGAAGACACATGAGCGGTGTGGATGGCCGAATACGGGTGTTGCCCAGGCTAGTAAAACGCATTACATCAAGCGACACACATTGCACCCAAGCACCGTTGCAACAGCATCCCGAGCGAGCATCAGCCTGGGTCCACCTCAACGGTCATCCTGAAATATCTGGTCCAGCAAATGGGGTGCAAGTGTCTTCAGCATTGTAAAAAGCAGTGCTTTGGCGTTCGGTCGCGGCCAAGCTCCAAAGGGAATGCAAAATAATACACGATCGTGCTTGCCCTGATGCTTACTGTATCGTTTTACATACCAAGCTGCTCATCAGCATTATCCTCGTGTTTTCTCTCTGGCTGTTGTACTGGCATCGCTCCCTTGTCGGAAGCTAAAGGGCCCTTGCAAGCGTAGAGTTTGACTCTTGCTCACACAAGCTTCCTTGCCAGCTCGTCAGGCTTGGCAGGTCAATGATGTCGTGAGGCTTGTCAGGCAACATCGAAAAAGTCAAGACACGCGTCACCCTTTACCAAAAAAGCCAGCTTGCTTGTAGCAGCGGCGGTAACAGCAGCAATCGTGGAGTAGTAGTAGTAGTAGTAGTAGTAGTAGTAGTAGTAGTAGTAGTAGTAGTAGTAGTAGTAGTAGTAGTAGTAGTAGTAGGTGTTGTTGTTGTTGTTTTGTTGTTTTGTTGTTGTTGTTCTTGTTGTTGTTGTTGCTGTTGTTGTTGCTGTTGTTGTTGCTGTTGTTGCTGTTGTTGTTGCTGTTGCTGTTGTTGCTGTTGTTGCTGTTGCTGTTGCTGTTGCTGTTGCTGTTGCTGTTGCTGTTGCTGTTGCTGTTGCTGTTGCTGTTGCTGTTGCTGTGTTGCACTTGTTGTTGTTGTTGTTGTTGTTGTTGTTGTTGTTGTTGTTGTTGTTGTTGTTGTTGTTGTTGTTGTTGTTGTTGTTGTTGTTGTTGTTGTTGTTGTTGTTGTTGTTGTTGGTGTTGGTGTTGGTGTTGGTGTTGGTGTTGGTGTTGGTGTTGGTGTTGTTGTTGTTGTTGTTGTTGTTGTTGTTGTTGTTGTTGTTGTTGTTATTACTGCTGCTGCTGCTGCTGCTGCTGCTGCTGTTGTTGTTGTTGTTGTTGTTGTACTACGGCCAGCGCTTGTGGTTTGCCTGGAGGCTCTTTTTGCGGGGGGCCTCACGCACTCAGATTCCCTCGCGCCTGCCAGCGTTTTAGCACCCGCGCCTGATATCGAACAGTCTGCCCTTAGAACATCGGCAAGCCTTTGCCGACGCACGCAACGGCGCAGGGTGCGGCTTTTCGATGGGTCACTATGCGCATTTTTTTCAGACTACCCCTAGGCTCAGCTAGAAGTTAAAAAGGTGACAAGCGAAGCTCTCCATACCTTAAAGTGAGGATTTGAGGGCAAGTTAAACCCCAAGACTAAGCCATTAACGGGCGGTTTGAGGGCACCTCAACCTGCACCCTAAACCTGAACCCTAAAGTGAGGGTTTAAAGACAAGGTAAACCCGAATCGGGTGGCCTGGCGGCAAGTGAAACCCAAAACCTGAACCCTAAAGTGAGAGTTTGAGGGCAAGTTAAACCCAAAACTAAACCCTAGACAGGGGGATTTGAGGGCAAGAAAACCGAAAACCTGAGCCCTAAATGGGGCAAGTTAAGCCAAAGGCTGAAAAAAGACCAGGAAGTGCTGGGTAGTCGTAGTAGTAGTAGTAGTAGTAGTAGAAGAAGTAGTAGTAGTAGTGGTACTAGTACTGTTAGTGGTAGTGGTAGTGGTAGTGGTAGTGGTAGTGGTAGTGGTAGTGGTAGTGGTGGTAGTAGTAGTACTAGTAGTACTAGTAGTACTAGTAGTACTAGTAGTACTAGTAGTACTAGTAGTAGTAGTAGTAGTAGTAGTAGTAGTAGTAGTATGCAGCAGCAGCAACAGCAGCAGCAGCAGCAGCAGGAAGAGGAGGAGGAGGAGGAGTAGTAGTAGTAGCAGTAGTAAGGAGCAGCAGATGCAGCAGCAGCAGCAGCAGCAGTCGTACTACCGGATCGTTTCCAACTTCTCGTTTTCCAGCAGAACGCTCCCAGCTACAGTGGTGACAAGATCTTTTGTTCAATAAGTTCAAGTTCCTCATTGTGTGACAATGAGCTTGAACAGTTTCTTCCTTTTGGCTCTCCAGAACATATGCGCGATTCTGTAGCTTGGCGAAGACTGTTGCCCCCTCAAAAAAAAAATGCTCGCCGCCCGTCATGCTTGCTGTCGCCGCCATGAGCAAACGACTGCGACGTCATGAGTGGCGGAATGCCCAGCTGCCCCACCCCGTTTGCACGTCCTGCATCTCCTTGTCGCCCCTGAGTAGGGTGAGATCGCAAGAGCGCTGGGGATGTTCGAATCACAAAATTCATTCTCTGAACTGGGCATGGGTAGATTTGGGGTGAGCTTGGAGTTGCTTCAGAATGATTGAGGGTGAGCTAGGATGGTTCGACCATGCAAGTTTGCTCAAAGATAGATTTGGATTGGCTTTAAGAATCGGCTTTCGAAGAGATATATAGGGGGTTGGTTGGTCTAGGGCTCGTCTGGCTGGACTAGGCTGGATTCACGGATGGTCGCTCACGAGATCTCCGCAAGACCCCGCTAGACTTCCTGGGGTTTGCGCTCTTTGACGGCCAAAAAGACAACAAGAACTGTATCATGCAGGGCACCTGGCTGGCTTTGGGCTTGCCGCTGAAAGACTTTGAACTTCATGGACACGCTTCAAGAACACATCAGTCCTTGAAATCAATGCTAAGGCATGGACATGGCTCGCATCTTCTCCTGCCACTGAACGGCTAGATAAAGCAAAAAACAAATACAAAGACAAAGCTGCTCAACTGCTCATGAGTTCATGAGCCTCGTGATCTCCATGAGATTTACCAGATAGGATCGCCGTGCTCAGCTTTTGGTCAAACTCGGTTCGCACGGACCTTGACAAGGCAGCGCAAGCCCCTCACCAAGTGGCAATCGGCAGGCTTGAAAGGCTTGGTTGTGTCTCACATTTCAGCAATCATGCAGGCTTGTGCCTCATCTCTGCATTGACAATGCTGAGAATCACATCGACCTGTCAAGCTAAGCGTCTCTTCTGCAAAAGTTGGCTTTACGCAGAAATGAACCCATGGTAGCTGATCAAGGCTAATGGCGACACGTAACTTGCTCCAAGGCAGCACTCGTGCCATGAGTCTTCTCACAGAGCATGCAAGAATTCCGACTCCCGTTTTGCTTCTTCACGGCATTCTGTGCATACATGTGCACCTGCTAACAATACACATCCAGCATCTTGACTTCATCAGGTGCCGTGTTGGCCCAGGCTTCAACCTTGAGCAGTGCCGGCGCTCTCTGCTTGTCCACCAGGGTGCAAGCAAACGCTTGGTCGTGGGTCCCACATGAGTGCGTTCCAGTCAGGAAACACTGCAAGGACTGCCAGCTCTCGCCCCTCAGATCGCCAGGGCGAGGCTCACCAAGCCTGGCACGCTGAGCAAAAAAGCGGCCTCCTTCGGAAGAACTTGTTCAGGAGGCAAAAAAAGATAACACCACGAGCGACGCACAAAGAGGAAAGGTCCCACCGCACTCTCCCAAACGATCCCTTGCGCCTTCTGTGCCTGCGCCTCCTGAGCCTCCCGTGCAAGAACCTTCAGCACCGATCGGAATGCCGGCCCAGGCAAGCAACATGTGAGCCTCTCTCTCTCGCGCTCTCGCTCTCCCTCTCCCTGTCTCTCTCCCTCTCAACTTTGCTTTGAGCAAATTTCCAAGCATGCGTCTTCTTTTGAGGGTGGTGCATCCACGTCTCTTTGTTTTGCTCTTTTTCAATCTGGAATGTGGAAATATAAAGTTTGAGCATGAAGCATAAAACTGCGTGGTCTCGAGCACTGAAGCATGAATTCGAATGCTAATGTTTGAGGTCCCAGTGATGTTCTGAGTGCTCAGCACATTCCAAGCGCCTTTTCCAAATACATGCACCTGTGTATGATAATGTTCTGTATATGTGACATCTTCAGGGGCGGTCCCTCGACCAAGCTGGGCACGAGCTTGCCAAGCATGATGCTCATGACCACAGCATCGTGCTCGACCTGGTCAAGCGCGGCGCCAACTGGCTGGCCGCTCCATCGCCGTTTCTTGGCAAAGGCCTCGTCAACTTGCTGCTTGAGGTACGCAATGTTGTCCTCAATGCCGTCCACCCGCCTGGCCAGGCCAGCTCTGAAAGGCCAACTAGTTCAACTCGTCTCCTTTCACGGGGCCAGGATGTATAGGCTGTATAGGTTTGTCTCCAAACAGGGGAACGCCACGCTGGGTTGAGGGCCGGATTGACTGCCCAACACTTCTAAAAAGGACATGAACCCAAAAGAACAATCAACTACCAACTGGTGCAGGATTTTGTCCATCAACAGTTGCTTTCTTCGTTAGCCCTTGGATTATGAGTTCATGCTTGCACAAAGGCCTCATATCCTTGGCCATCAGCCGGGAGAGGATGCTGTTAAACTCGCTGTCTTCACTGGGCCTAACGTTCCACACACAGCAGGTGAAGCTTCAGAAGGTATCTGAAACAAAGTGTCACAAAACAGTTTCTCTCCTGATTATGCACTGATGCTAAGTGCCAACCCGCGAACATGTTCAGCATCTGCCAGGCACGCCCTGCACACGGGTGTCTGCATGTGCATGTGTTTGTGCTTTTGCCTTCTGTTTGTGTTTGTGTTTGTGTTTATTTGCGTGCAGTGCTCTTGCAACATCTCGAACCCAGGAACTCCATGGCACCTGAGACAAATCCCGCCGCTCAGCCGAGGCCCTTGCTCCAACTTGTGTAACTCCACGGTCCACATCACCAGCTGGGTGAAGAGCTGAAATCTGCGCCTCGGAGATTCTTCGTTCCATTCAGCACATCTTGCAGCCTTGTGGGTTGACAAGAACCGCCATGCTCAGTGAACATCTGCCGTTTGAAAGCTTTGAAAGTCGGAAAGTCTTCCCACCCTGGGCCAAACCAGCGCCAAACCGAAAAGAAGAACACTTGACCCGTGGGAAGGTGGGCCCTCGGCAAGGGAATCCCACGATACTGCGAAGCAAACAGTCTGCGAGGCAACGCCCAATCCAAGTTCAAGGTTCCTGGGGGACGATCATGGCTTGATCGCAATCTGGTGTCGGGATGTGACAGAGATGCTCCTCTTTGTGTTGGATCTTTGCTTGAGCGGATTGAGCATCTCTCGATCCCTCAATGACACTTGTGGGTTCTGGTGGTTCAGACCCCCACGACACGAGGGACTGCAGCTCGTCCATACGATCAAATACCTCGGGAAACCCAGTCAAAAGCTTGTGTTGGGTATATACAAGTACCATCATCCTTTCCAACTTGAAATTATACCTATTAATAAATCTATTATGTTCTCAATATCTAAATAGTTATTAATTCTTCTAATTTGAATATCATATATTTTTATATGTATCCATATATTTAAAATTATCTATTATATCAAAATTCCATATTTATTATATTTACCATATTCAAAAATATTTATTTCACAAATTATCTATTATAATTTATATATAAAGTGCAAAAAGTTGGGTCAAACAAATCATAGCAACTGCCGCGTAACTCGCATGCGAAGCACCCTGAGGCTACGGCGCTGTCGGAGATTCCAGGAAACGCCTTGAAATCTGACCAGGTCACTTTCTGCACTGCCTTCTGACGAGAAGCTGGTGCCTTGACAATCCTTTCGCATAGATCTTTGGGCTTGAACTCCTTCAGCGTCCAGGCAAAAGAGTCCCAGGCAAAAGGCGGAAGTTGCCACTCCGGACTCCTCCCACTTCTCTGGCGCACCGCCGGAAAAAAGGGCAAAGGTCGGAGTGCCTCGGCTGGCAAACCCAATACCCCGCCGGCACCTGCTCTTGCAAAGAGCAGCCAGCCGGCCTCGCGCCACTGGGCAGTGGTCCGGAAAATCGTTGGCTTCAATGTTTAGCCTGGGCGCGGGCTTCCTTGTCTCTGGATAGAGGCCGTCCGTGCACCGAACCAGCAAGACTGTGAAATATTGAGACTGCCCAAGTCCTTCAAGGGCCTGCTGCCATAACTCAGGCCTCTGCCGTTTGACGACAAAAGGCGCCTGCAACAGAACAGCATGGTGGTGCCGCCCAACCCCACAGGCACCTTGATCTGTTGCAGCAATTCGCCCTCAGATGCCACGGACAGTTTGAAAAGACATACGACAATGCGCGCTCCCCTCTGGGGCAGCGGCAAGAGAGTTGATGAACGGCCGCATCAGAAAGCACAGAAAGCAGGTGTCCTGGCTCCATCAAAGCCAAGAATGCTGACAATGGAACAGTTTCATGACATCCTCGTACATCTGCAGCAACACCATGGGTCGCCCTGGGCTGTGTTGAAGCACATCCTGCCAAGGTGAGCAAAAAAGGGCTCACGGCAACGGGATTCCTTAGCAAAACAGGCCACGAACGCAATCCAAACGGTGCAAGCCAAAGTCCTCTTGGAAGGACTGGTTCGAGACAAAAGGCACCCACTTTGGGGCCTGCGACATTCTCAGGCCGTGCGCGTCGCGGGAGCGCAACCGAGACATCGAGAGGTCCCGGCCTTTACCCTGGATAGATCCTGAGAAACTGGCTTGTAAAACTCCAGCACCTGGCAAAGGAAGCAATCACAGTGCAAGGAAAATATGGCTGTGGCTCAAAAAGTGCTACCAAAATGGCACCTTGGGAAATGGAACCAAGGCCGAAAAAACCTGCGGTTTGGTAACCCCAGCTTAATTTTCAGCCATACCCATATAAGAATACAGCGGTCCCATGGCCCCATCCTGGCCTCCTGCTTTGGGATCTCATCGCCTATATACAGAATTGACCTGGGATAGCAAGCTGCTCAATGCCTCAATCAAACGAAAGAAACGTGCTGAAACGCATCTTTGTGTTGACCTATGCTCTCAAGAATTGAAGAATTGAGACTCCCACTTCCTTTGGCCCTTGTACATCACCTGCGCATGGGATCTGCGATCACAAGACTCCAGCATCTCAATTTGCGGGGGGGCGGACCACCCGAATGGGCTTGTCATCCTCCGCGTCGCCGGGAAGAGATGGATCACCTGATTGCGGAGTCCCACAGAAAGCAACCAGTACGTGCCAAGGGAGCCGCCATCTTTCCGGACGTTTTGGTAGTACCTGGCTGGTGGAAACATGGCAACATGGCAAAAAGGGGCATCCCAAACAAATCAAACGATGCCGAGCACGCTTCACCTTTGCTAACGAGGGCTCATGGATGAAGGCCCTGATGATTCGCTGAATGTTGTCGCCTCAGAGGCCATCTCTGTGGCTTCCCATCGCATCGACTGCAATTGAACGCTCAGAGAGCGACGACGATCAGACAGATCCTCTGCCTGACGTGCGCAGTAGTCCGGGAATCTGAAAAGAAAAAACTTGTCCTTTAGTTTCCATCAAGGGTGATGGTTCGGATCTGTCTGCACATGCTGCCTGCTCGCACGTGCGAGCATCATTCAATATTTGTTGTGTTGTGTCCCCCACCAAACATTGGGTGGCGAGCAAAGCCATGTTCTAGAATTAAAACTTGGGTGAGCGTAGTCGCCTGGCATCCTCATTACTAGATGGCTACTCTCCATGTGTTGTGCAGCTGCCGAGAACCCTGCCTTGTCAAAGTAGAACACAAAGAGATTGTCATTGTTGTCAAATACCTGTCACTTGAAAGTTCAAGCTGTGCCAAGCTAGTTGCCAACACCAATGCTTGGACATCCGCGGGAAACTGGGACAACTGGAAAAAAAACTGGGGAGCAACGTGTCATGTGTTCTTGCATGAGTCATGACCTGACGGAATGGCCTTTTCATATCGAATGCTGAGCAAACATTTGCTCAAGCGCATGCCGCTGCTCCCTCACCTCATCTGAGATGGGCTTGATGTCAATATCGATAACCTTCCCCGGGGCTGCCCAGGCCTGGCCCGAGGTATTAAACTTGCGCCCAATTCCTTTCGACAATCCCGGTTGTTTGTTTCCAAACCTCGAATTCACCAGTCTCAAAGCTGGCTTTGAAACTTATGCTCCGGCAAGCCATGTTCCCAGCTCTGATCAACATTCCATTGCATCCAATCCGATCCATGCACTCCGTCTCTCTGCGCAACAATAGCAAGCATATGAGCTTGCTAGCTAGTTCCGTTCAAGCCTAGTCAAACTGGCTAGGGATGCTGCTGGTCGAGCAGAATTGTCACCCATGCAGGAAAGTTGTGGACCCCACAAGGGAGCCTGGCAAGGATGATTGGCTGGCTTACTTTATCTTACTTCTACCACGCACACTACTACCCCAGTTCCCAGCTCTTTACCACATGCGTGCCTGCCACGATGCAGCAGATACCGCAGCAACTGCTACCCCAGAAGCTGCCTACAAGCGCAACAAGAAGCAGGCACAAAACCAAGGGAAGCTACGCATTCTGATGCCGTATGATGCAAACGGCCCAAAGCTGGCATCTGTGAAGGGCGCGCCCGCCCTTCAACAGGGCCCCCACCAGCACAGCCATGCGCTTGGATGACGGTGCACTTTGGCCACCGGCCACGTCCTCAAGCCGACGCTCAGACACAGCTCCATGTGAATTCAGACATGCCTGAGTCGATGTGTCCGACATCAGACGCTGGATTCTACCAGCCTGACAGAATGCACCAAGGCCAAGCAGCAGAATTCGCAACGGAGTCACAAGACGGTCAGCACTGTCGCGTTCGCAAAGCTGTGGAGCTCTCATGGTTCTGTTGTGAGATGGGAAGCTCCGAGTTTGCTGACTCGGTGGCTTGTAACACCATCCGGAAAGAATCCCAGTTCTCAATCTCAGAAAGGCCCTTGGGCCCAACGCCCTGCCGTCGCCTGCACAAATCGGCGTGCCCTTCCTGAACAGGGTCGACAAGCTTGGAACTGGACTCTTTGGCATCTCCTAATCACGCGACCAAACCCAACATCCTATCAGAAGAAAGTCGTCAAAACTTCGAATCACACAGCAAACCCGAAGTTGCCCTCTTGCCTTGTAGCCGGCGCCCAACCATTGCCAGCGACATCGCATCAAAATCGATAGTTGCGAAGCTTTCAGCCCGTTATCGTCTACAATAGTCATGCAATATGAGGCCGGGACGGACCATAAGGTCTACGAAAGCGGAAGCTATGCGTCTCTCTCTCTCTCTCCCGCTCATGTCCCGTTGCGCAACCACATCTGAAGGCCTTGCGTTTTGTAGCATCATTGAGAGCGAGCCACACGGCTGCCGGCAAATCATGGGACAAGCAGGTGCCAGTTGGGCCCGCCGTGGCCGTCTATGCCAAGCCAGTGCCTGATTGGCCAGGTTCCAGGTCTTGTTGTGCTTCAGGTCCTCAATGCAGCTTTCACTCCGAAGCCCAACTGCCCAAACCCGGCACGGTGTTCTGCAAAGATCAAAGGCTATCCTGCAACACTTTACCGCAGTGGTGCTCAAGCAATAGCATCTTTCTAAGGTCCGGCAACTATTATCATATCAATTCATGAAGTTTATTGAAAAGCACACATACTTGATTTGATGAGCTTGCGTTTGATCCAAAATGTCCCACTGACGATTTCAATCCTACTGCATCACATGTATCTATGATTGGAACAATGTTCTAGCGAAACCAAAAAATACAGAAGGGCCGCTCAAAGGGGGGTTTGAAACACAGGGAGTTGGTCGTTTTTGAGTATGTGTCTTTCAGACTTTCAAAAAAAAAGACTCAAACCCTAACTCAGCCAGCATGGATACATAGGGTCTGAAATTGAAGTTGTTTGATGTTTGGTTGTCTCGAGGTTTTTTTGCACGCTTCCAAAAACGTAAAAAAGTTAAATTAAAAACATGCAACAAACAACTCTAGGAAACAAAAAAGATGTCAGACCCCAACTCAGGCAGCATGGATACATTGGGTGTTGTTTTTGTTTTGATGTTGGGGTCAGCAAGAAAAACAAAATATCCGCAAGAAGGAAACATGTGCCATCGCGACCTGGGCAATTCACCTGCTAACAGCAACCGAATTCTATTCAATTGAACTAGAAGAAACAGCCAGCTTGCCTTTCCATACCAGATTCTGTCTACATTATATTCCTAGATACTTGCAAAGGACATCCCATCAAAATGTTGATTCAAAACAAGAACTATAACTAAATCAAATACAAAAAACTACCATCTTGTCTTTCTGTACTAAAATCTAAGTATTTGTGCATATATATATATATATGTACATGTCAACTAAAGTCATATTTGGCAAGACAATCCTGTTTAGAACTGGAAGGGATTCCGGTTTACTATATACTGAAAAATAATAAGTATATAACTCAATTCCAATTGAACACATTTTTGGACAAGATCCCATAACACGTCCAAATTATCAAATAAATTCAAGGTTCTGATTCACTTCTAATTGGAATCCTGCTTGGAAAGGCAGTGCTGGCTAATGTCCAGCTCAAGAAAATGAAGTGAATTCTAATTCAATAAGTAAAGCATCGCAATGCAAATCTTGCAAACAAATTGTAATGAAATCAGCTTTTCTCCATGGGTTGGTTTCTATTATTCAGAGGCTTGCAAAATAAATGAAACAACAAGCTTCTGTTTCCTTGTTGGAGTCCCAATTCAAATCTTACCTAGGAAGGGAAACCGATTTAAACTGTAATTCAGCATGTTATGTTAACTTGAAAGCTAATCAAGATATGATTCAAAGTTAAAGCTGTGCCAAGCTAAGACTTGTGAATCAATAGAACTGAAATTCCATTTCCCTTGAGTTTCTATACTTTTGGTGACTAGCCTTTTCTTCAGGTGCATTTCATGGGTTGAAAAAAAATGAGGGGACGCTCTCAACAATTATGTCTACCTCTCCGGCACAAATAGCTCCTCAGCTTGCTGAGTCTCATGAGCGGCCATGAGGATGTCCAGCCTACGGGCAGTCGCCGGCGTAGGAGCCCCAACATCTCCGGGCTCCCGGAGGTTCCAAGCGATCGCTTTCCACTGCCCGGACTCGAACCAAGCTGAGCTAGCGGCTGGGACTGCACTTTCTGGTTGGAGCTGCGGTAGTCGGTGTCAAGCTCCCGCATGCGATCTTCCAGGATCTGGGCCTAGCACAACCTCTCGACTAAGCACACAGAGTCAATCGGCGTAAACTGCAAGCAGATCTGGCATGACTGGTGCCACCAAGGACCCCTTGGGCCCTTGCTAGCGTGTCTATGTCGTTGATCTTGTTCTGCGTGCCACGCCGACATGTCTGTTTAGATCGCCGCAGACCGCGCCTGCAGACTGTTCCGCCTGGAAGCCGTCTCAGTTCCCACCAGCCTCGGCCGGGCTGAAAACCCCTGGCCCTGGATGTCCCGAAGGCTCGCACTGCTCCAACTGCTCGACCCTCGTCTTCATGGTCTCCGTGCGAGAGATCAGCTCCTCACTTTGCGGATTCGGAGATCTGCCCACTCGCAACGCTCCATCCTGCACTTGGGCATCATCCACCGCCTGGGACGAGGATGCAAGCAAACTGTCGTCAACAAGTCCTGTGCTCCCCGGGTCCCCTGCTGGCTGCTTGGGTGGAGGAGGCATGTACAGGCCAAGCATGTCGCTCAGCCTTGATCGGATCAGACACACAAGAAATCGAGAGCTGGCATGTTATATCTTGCAATCATAGCTGTGGGTCAAAACCCTGTACCCGTGGTGAACATCAAAATAGGTGGCAAATGGATGTTCATCCACCCAAAAATGGAGCCATAGGATATGTCTCATGGACATATCAAGGTTGCAGGCATTTGCAATGCCGACATTGCAGGCCCTGCCTCCTCTTAGGCCTCACATATGAGAGGATACATCCATTCAAAACCCTTCAGTAAGCACCCCACTTCATCACATCAGGTGAGGCCTTGACACACCGAAAAGATGAGCAAGTAGGTCTTGTCACTCTTTGCAACTGTCCCTCAAACGCCAAAAATTGCAAAGGCTTGCTTTGACCACCCTCCTAATTGCAAGCAAGCAGCTGGCGCCGGCATTGGAGGAGCGGGAGATGGTGAGGGAGAGGGAGCTGGAGACGGAGAAGCCTCATGGCAAGAGAAGCAGAACAACGGAATATCAAGAGCAAGTCTCAGCCCATTTCCAATGTGTTGTACATGTCAGTTCACCGGACATGCAAAGTCCGGCCGCCTTGCCGGATGCCACCCTCCACGCTCAGGGCCGTGCCACAGCCGGAACCTCATCTTCCAGGCCGTCAGCATCAGCAGCGCTGCCTGTCACTGGAAGTCTCATCAACCGTGAGGGGCTCTTGGCAGCATTCAGCGAAAGCGTCCCGTCACTTCAGAGATGACTGCCTGGCAGGCAATCTGAGCGCCTGATGGTGTCATCATTTGTCTCGCCGGAGAGGCACGCTTTGCTCCTGCGGGGCTGATCCATCACCAGAACAGGTGGAACTTGCATCGATGACCTATGCTCGCTGCGCACCATGCTTTGTTCATGAGTCCTGCAGCTGCCAGCTCTTGCTGCTGAACCTTTCCAATATATATGTGCCCTCTTTCTGATATCAAAGATTCAAAGTCTGTGAATGGCAGAACTTGCAAGCACCTCGAGCTCCTCGATGGTCTGCACCTGTGGATCCCACCAGACAAAAACGACAGACATAGTCCACGTCCAATTTGCCTTGCCGCTGCAACCGATCTCAAGCCGAGGTCAGCACACATGCTGCAATGGAGGATTGCAACGTAGAAATGTCGTTGCCTAGCATCTCCAGAGCGACACACGCCCCGCTTTCTCGGTTCCAAGGCATTCCAAGGCATTCGCGCATGTCGGGCACTTGAAGCCGAACTCCCTGAGCTGAGAAACTTCCCGTGGATATCGGCAGAAAGGCCAGGCCTTCAGCTCGGACACCATGTCTTCCAGCGTGTTCACCCTCCTTGGCTTTGGGACTTTCGCCGGAGGAGAGGAGTCTGAGGAGTCTGAGGAGTCTGAGGAGTCTGAGGCCTAGGGCTTAGAGAGCGCCTCCGCGGCTTCCAACAGCTCCCTGGGAGCGACGTGTTCAAAGGAGCGCTGACGTCGGCTAAGCCCCGGTCGTGTTCGGTGGGGGCGTGGGTGGGGCAGGTGGAGGAGCTGGTGACGGCGGCTGCCAGTCACCCAGAGCAGCCTCAACTCTCATGAGGACCAACTCCTGGTGACAAAGACTACATTGAGCTCCTAGCCCCCCGCAAAATGGTCAGACCTAGTTCCTTCCTTTTGGAATTGTTTCTCGAGCCAGCGTGGTCGTGCGGACTCCGAAGCTAACATTCACTCAAACTCCAATCCTTTGGAAGGCCGTCCTCCATCTTCTTGTCCTGGGCAGCCAGCGCGACCGCCATCTCGATGGAACAAACCGAGGAGGCTTCTTGCCTGCGCTGAAATAGCTGGAGAGAGACGCTGACATGGACCGCAAATGGGGTATCACTTGGTGATTCTGAAGGGTTAAACGACCATCGCCGGCACCTCACTCGTTCCATGAGATCTGGCCCCAGGACGAAGCGATACATCTCCTCTTGGATGTACTGTGCTAAATCCTGCAACGTCGGAAAACCCTGTTGGCTTCAGTGTGAGTATTGATCTCTGGTCCGATATACTGGCAACACATCGGTCAGATTGCAATCTCCATCACCCACTCACACTCCAACAGCCCGCTCCTCCAAACGATGCTCCACGTCCTGACAATTCCAACTCTAACGTAGTCCCCCTACTCCTCACAACAAAGGGGCCCGTGGTTGCCCCGCCGGGGCCTGAACCCGTGTCAGGCAACCAGGTTGGCACTTGCACCCACCAGTCCCCTGCTTCACAATCTTGCATTGAGCGAGGCATGCACAGGTCCTCTGCAAGGACTTGTTGCAGTCTCTCTTCCATGCGCTCAACCAGTCTTTCCTGACAGCTGACCAAAGGCGCCAGTTGGCCACGGGTCAAAATCCCGTAGCCCCAGTGAATATGTCAATCCCCACTAAAATAGACTAAAATGGGTGGTGCACCTACCCCAAAATGGGATCCCATTGGTTTTGACCCACGGCCAGTCGAACCATTGGAATTGCTCGGTGCCTCTCACAAGCCTCCTATCAGTGACCTGTTTGCACAGCCTCCGTGATGTTGTTGCCCGCCATGCTGGGATCTACTGGCAGCGGTAGGCTGCGGGTCGAAGGCCGGCGACCGCCTCAGGCGGCTCTCTCAGCACGCGGTTTCGCGGCCCCGCGGCCCCGCGGCCCCGCGGCCCCGCGCCTTCTAGAAAGGAGAAGCGCCGCACCTGGCGTGCGAGCTGAGGAAACTCAAGCTGAACCTTCTGACAAAGAAAAAGATCTGAGGCGCCCACCTCCGAAGACATGCTCTGGGTGCGCCCCGGAGCTTCTTTGGAGTCTGTTGCAGAGTCTGTCGCAGAGGAGTCTGGAAGATCTGCTTGGGAGTCGGAGGCCTCAAGAAGGTTCTGAATGTCCGCTTCCTGGGCGTCCGCGGTTAGATCAACGTTGACCTCCGTCTCCAGCGCTGCAGGCTCTATTGCCACATCTGTCTCCACCTGCTCGATGTGGGTCTTGTCCTCCTGAAGAGGCTTCTCTTCAATGGAGTCGTGCAAATCTGCAGCTGCGCGTGGGCTGCTTGGTGCCTCGGGGAATGAGTCGCGTGACCCTTCCAGATCCAAGCACACCCACCTGCGACATGTTGAAATCGGCCCTAAGCACCGCAGCAAACAAGGGAATACATCCTGACTGTGCAAACTGCGAAGGCATGGGCGAGTTGAAGCTCTCCCGGCTCAGCCCCCGATTTCCCATGCTCGAAGGCCTGCAGCGCATGCTCTCAAACCCTACCAGCTACACCAGCCTCTCTCAAGCCAAGGGCTGCACATCCTCCGCGCCCGAAAGCTCTTGCGCTCCTGCCGAAGCGCGGGCAACGTGTTCCGGTCCCCTCACCGGGTTTTGGGGATCTGGCAGTCATCTCTGTCGCTGGCGGTCCTCGCTGAGCAACTTTTGCACGCAAAGTTGGTCAGATAGTTGCCTTGACCTGCAAAGCTTCGCTGCAAGGCTCAACTCATGATCAGTCCTCAACAAAACAAAGCTTGCACGTGCATGCAACTCCTGTAATCAATTTCACATGTTTGCTCATGATGCTAGCCAAACAAGCATGCACCATGTCTGAGGTTCACACAGAGATGTGATCTTACTTTCGTGTTCCTGCACTGTCCTGCAGCCAAAGCATGCGTGGATCTCTGGTCGGCCGCACAACAAGACAGTTCCAATGTTGCAGGTGCAACAAGTATGTGTCCTTACCATCCAAAATACCAGCTCGGTCTGCTGCCTTGCAGCATCCAAAAGGGCCTCGCATCATCGCATGACGTGATTTGCGAGTCCACACACGCAAACATGTGGACGACCCCTGTGTCCAACCCATCGACACGCATCGGCTCTCAGCTGGTGGCTGGAAACCCACCTGGAGTGACCGGAAGGCTCGGAATTTGCCCGGAACCTCGGCTCAGGCCCAAGGAACTCCGCGACATCTGTGGGTCAAAACCAATGGTACCATTTTGGTAGGTGAATTCACCATCCATTTTAGAAGGGGTTGAGATGTTCACTGGTACGGGAATTTGACCCATGGCCATCTATCAACTGAGGTCCCTTACCTTCGAACCCGTGAGATGCCGCCATGGCTTCAGCGGGATTTGCCATTGCTGATGTCTATATCACTTGCATGCGCACCGGTGCCTTTGCGGCTGTGCTGCGTCTGCTGCATGGTTCATGCTGAGTTGCCTATTCATCCCACTTGGTCACGAAACTCTGATTGATTCTTCTGATTATTTACACACCTTTCTTGCCCTGCCTTAGTTGCGAGCTGCCTGCCTTATTCAGATTCTTGCCGCCACATCAGCCAACATGTATTGAATATGTCAACTACTTTGGGTCGAATGGCGAGCAGCAAGTCCACATTGAACAATCCGGCAAGCACCAGGCAACCATGTTCTGGGTGGTTCTTTGAACATGGTGCCTTTCAAGCTGCTGATCCGTGTCTCGAAAAGGTTCAGCATCGACGACAGGTCAGACGGTCAGCCTGTTGGAAAACACGGGTGGCTTATCTTGCAGACGTCCAAGCATTGCACCTAGATCATTCCAATGTCCAGTACGCCGTGTGGCACCCGGACCGACAGGGTGTTGTCATGTAGAATGTTGATACGTTCGTGTGTACCACACAATGCTGAACACAAACAACTTGTGTGATGCGACCATATGAGGCAGGCTTCAACACACACGCACACACGCACAAAGGCAAACAAATGCGATGAGTGAACGAAACAAACGAAAAAGCAAATATATAAATTCTGAGCTGGCTGAATCCGCAACAACCTTGCAAAACGTGGCTGAGGTGTCTGTTCTTTTTACGTAGCCATGGCATTGGCCTAGACCGGCATTTCAGTCTACAATTCAGAGTAGGTTTCAGGTAGGTTCGGCAACGTTTGTGCTACGTTTAGGGTAAGTTTCGAACATCCTTCGCATCACCAGGCTTTGGGGTGGGTTTCGGGTTTAGGGTTTAGGGTTTAGGGTTGAGGGTTTCCAGTTTGGCTCAGGGTTGGGTTCAGGGTTCCAGGCCTTCCGAGAGCAAACGTTGGCTGCGCAGGTGGTTGGTAGGCTTAGGGATGGTTTGTGCTTTGGAAAGCGTCGCACATCCCTCCCCAGCATCGTTTTCAACCTCATCGGCATGAAGAAAGTGCGCGATCGCAGGCTAGCATCACAAAGCCTAAAACCGGTGCCGGAGCGGCGGAGCAAGCGGAGCGAAGGACACGAGAATGGAGACAGCGCGCAATTACAAACAAGGGCCACAAAAACGAGAAACGGCAAATAGACACTATGGAACAAAAGCGCGCAAACACAAGCGAGGTTCACAGCCGCCCCCCTACTTTAAAAACAAATAATCAGGCGAAGTCCAAGTGTACCTTTGGATTATACTTTGGGGGGCCAGGTTGAGCCATGTGTTTCTAGATTTTTGAGTTGTTTTAATTGTATTTTTTCCCATTATTAAATTCTGCCCTTTCCTTTAGTTTTAGCACACACCACTGTTTTCAAGAAGGCTGGGCCTGTTCAACTAATGTTGATCCCATTAATCTTACATTGTTTTGTCCTTCTTGAAACATTGGTGTCTACAGGAAGGAAGGCTGGGCTTGTTGCACATGTTGTCCTAATAAGTTGTTTTGTCCTTGAAAGGACTACCCTGAGTCACTGAATATCTTGAAACCTCCAGAGTCACAGGAAGGCTGGGTTTGTTCTTGATTTGGTGTGAGGATTGTTCTTTTGTTCAGTCATATCCGCATGCATGAAGCATGCACCGCAACGGAGGCTCTAATTGCCACAAGAAAATAGCTGCCATTCGCTCGACATGGTAGCGGAGCCGGTGCTGTAAGTCCTACCCGTCGGTAGGCAGCCCGGCCAAGGAGAACCACGACGGCCCGATCAGGGACCTCGACCACAAGGAGAACAAAAGTGCCCTGGCTACCGATCCTCCTGCTACTGGGCACGATCGCGGAAAGCTCTGGAGAGAGTCTGAGCTGGAGACAGGAGGTGGTCAACATCGGTGGGCCTCAATTCGAATTCGGTGGTCGGTGGAGATTGAGAAGGTTGGAGGCGCGGCCAACGCGAGTTAGCTGCGACCTGGACGACCTGGGTGGCCTGGAGAAGTACAGGTACAAGGCGGACTATACGGAGGTGAAGAAGGTCTATTTGCAGATCTTTGTGGAGGTCATAAAGCGGACCTACGGCAAGATGGCTGAGCAGCTACAGCAAATCAGAGAGGTGCTGGACGGCCTGACCCGCAGCCAGGAGCAGAATCAGTGGGCCCGGAATGTCAAAGGGCCAGAGGTCTTCAAGGCCGATACCCGCGAAAGCGAGTTGAAGCAATGGGAGGACTGGAAGCTCACGGTGGAGAACTGGGTCAAGGCAGTGGACCCAGAGATGTACCTGGACATGAAGCGGGTGGCCCAGAACGCTGAGGAGGCGATCGGCTGGAACGAGCTGAGCGATGCGAGAAAGGTGAAGAGCTTGAGGCTCTTTGGAGTGCTGGCTTCGTACCTACGGGGCCGGGCGCTCAAGCTCATCAAGCACACGCCAGAGGAAAATGGCTATGAAGCATGGAGGCTGCTGCTGAGAGACATGCAGCCGAGCACAAGGCAGAGGGCATTGGCTTTGATGACCCAACTGTCTAGGATCAACTTCGCCCCGAACAAGTCCGTCATGGAGCAGCTCCCGGCCTACAAAGCCCTGGTCAGGGAGTATGAGAGGGCTGCCCACGTACGAATCGTTGAAGGGAAGGATCGAGCAGTACGAGGCGATCACCACGAAGTGGAGCACAGAGAACGTGCTTGGCTTGCCCACGCGGGCAAGCATGGAGGATCCAACCCCAATGGACGTGGACTACATCGGGGGCCACTACAATCAGAAGGGCAAGAAAGGCAAAGGCAAGGACGGCAAGGGCAAGTACGGCAAGGGCAAGTCCAACAAGGGACACAGCTACAACGACTTCAAGGTCAAGGGCAAGTTCAAGGACGAGAAGGGCAAGAGCAAGGGCAAGAGCAAGTCGCAGGACAAAGGTAAGGGCAAGTCCAAAGAGCAGTGCTGGAACTGGCCACAGATCCAGAGAATGCTGGGCCCCGCGGAACATCAACCAGGTGGAAGGAGATTGGACTTATGCCCCGGCTACACCATCTTCATCAGGTACTACCGGAGGTGGAACAGCTTCAGGAGGAGCGCAAAGCTCAGCAAGCTCTACAGCAGGTTCGGCGAACATCAGAATGATCCGGCTGGTCACTCCCCCGGACATGAATGAGACGAGGATGTTCGATCTCACTGCTGGGGAAGATGAGTTCTTGGGGATGATCCAGGAGATTGAGGATGAGAGCTACGCTGTGCTGATGGTGAAGCACGAGGACAACGAATCCTTCTTCGACGCCCATGAGCCCGTGGTGGAAGAGATCGGAAGGGCCACCGTGGTGGCCATGGACTTGCAAGACGATAACTTCGAGACGGAGGATGAGACTTACCAGGTGAACATGGTGATGGACGAAGAGATGGACCACGGATGGTCCAGGGTGCTTATGACGGTCGACTCAGGCGCGGATACTTCGGTGCTGCCTGAGGAGTTTGCTGGAGTTGGAGAAGAAGCCCATGGAGGAGGAAGACAGATCATCATGAAAGACGCGCGGGGCAACATCATCCAGCAAAGCGGGATGAGAAAGGTGAACTTTGCCATGATGGGCAAGGACGGCATCTCGGAAAACTTTGTGGAGAAGTTCATCGTGGGAAAGGTGAAACATCCCATCTTGTGCGCTGGACGTCTACTGCGCAGTGGATGGGAGATAAAAAGAAGCGGAGATGGCCTAAATCTCTGGCACAAGCAAGGAGTCGAAATCCCGCTGGAGATGAAGAAGAACAGCCTACAGGTTGTGGCGGAGATATGCTCGGTGGAGACTGAGAACAACGAGCACGAGGATGAGTGGAACACGGTGGAGGTCTGTGTGTTGGAAGGCTTCCTGGGCGCGAGCTTCAAGGAGCTGGAGAAAACCCCTGGATGGCATGTGTTGCCGAATGGCCTGGCGGCATACAGCTACCCGGTGGCTACACAGCTACTGGATCCGTCAGGTACTTTTGATTGGAAGGCGAGGATGACCTTCATGAAGACCAAGGACGGCAGCGGATGCAGGTTGAGAACGTGAGCGACTACACGCAGCTGGGGAACATGGCGTTCAGGCGGTTTGGGCCCGCGGAAGATCCCCAGAGGACCATCACTGTTGTGGCGCCTGCAAAGATGAAGGACTACTTCGAGGTGGACTCAGAAGTCCACGTGGCGCCATTTCCCACGACGCACAGAGAACTTCAATCAGACGTGCTGGGTTGGTCAGATGAGGAAGTTGGAGTTGGAGACGAGAAGATGATGCGAGAACCACCGGAGGTGGAAATGGATGTGGTGAGGTACAGCCTCGACAATTCCCTGAACGAGTTGCGAGAAGGGTGTGAACGGCATGGTCTGCCTACATCAGGGAGCAAGTCAAAGTTGCTCGTGAGGCTGGACGACTTCAGGATGGACCTCGAGTCAAAGATGCAGACAGAGATTGCGAGAAAGCTATATCGCGAGAAGGAGCGGAAACCGGTGTCTCTGGGCATCCCTAAGAGGCCAAGCCTGGAGCAGCAGAACGAGCACAACCTCACGCACTACCATGCCTCAGCACGAGAGCAAAGGAAGAAGTCCACAAGCGCGACGTCAAGAAACACGTGGAGAGCAGCAAGACGGTGATCAGCTTTGACTTCGGCTACACCTATGTGGACGACTACGGCAATGAGAAAAGTCCGGAGGAGGTGAAAAATGCAGATGAGCAGTATGGCACCGTGCTGTACATTGCCGATCACCACACAAAGGCAGTTCATGCAGTGCCGGTGCTAAGCAAGGGAGCCCCCAACCTCAAGCTGATGGTTGAGGAGCTGGTTCGGTTTGGAATGCAGGCTGCTGGAGGAGACCCCGTGATCTATCAGAGCGACGGGGAGAGGTCAACAAAGCAGCTGCTTCGAGCTGTGCAACACTGCAGAGCCAATCTGGGCTTGGAGACCGAGATCCGCATCTCAGGAGTGCAGCAGCACGCTTCCAACGGACAAGCAGAGAGGACCGCGTGCTGGAGAAGGAAAGAAAGACGAGCTATGAGGTGTGGTCTGGAAG